CAGGAACCCTCACTGGAGGGCTCACACCCTTCAGAATGCACAAAGGGATCCAGACAAGACCTGGGCACCAATGACATGGATGTAGATGAACTCAAGAGACAAGCTCTTTCAAAAAATTTTATAGCAAATCCCCCTGCCCATAAGTCTCAGGAAATGTGAAGTGTAAGTAACCCCTCTATATATTTATGTGACTAATAAGGTTCTAATTCCACTAAGAACTTAGGAATGTCACAGACTTTTTGAAGCCACAAATGCAATATGATCTGAAGTAAAACTTGTTAGAAGCAATAACATCACAGCCTTTCTGCTATTATATTTTCCAAAGATCTTTCCTTGCGAAGTCCAGAAACCTCAAGGAAACCAAAACCCATTTAAAACACTTCCCCATTTTCTCCAAATTCAAGTCTAAGAAAACGCTTGTAGGAGTTGTTTCAAATGTGGTCATGTAATGAAATATGAACTTTAAACAAAGATACTGGCTGCTAGCTGAATTCCTTTGTCTCTAAAAATCAATGACAGAAAATAAGATGTCCTGATAATATTTCAAGCATGCTTCTTTTTTAATACAACAAAAGAGGCCTAACTGAAAATATTATCGTGATTAATCTTCCTAAATGGGATGCCCAGACCCCCACCTTCTAAAAATTGGTTCTAGGTGCAAGGTTAATGCTTACACCTCCATTTTTACAAATCATGCAGCATAACGTAAGAAACAACCTCTGTAACAATTTTGAAAGTGCACTTACTATAATCCTGTTACTATGGTAACCCCGGCAGGCTAGTTCTCTGAAAAGACTCAGATCTGAGTCTGAACAAGGTTATGCCATCATCTTTTACTCTTCTTCCCTCATAAATGCAACAGCAAATACACGCCAGAGGAAAGCACATAATTGTCACTTTGAATTGCTTCTTCTGATTCAGTAATTATTTCTAAAGTATGTGTTTTCTTAGAATATTGTTAAAGAAAATAAAATAACTTATAGCTCAGTGGGTAAGAGTACTTGCCTAACATGCATGAATCCCTGAATCCCCAAGTTTGATGCCCTATTACCAAATAAAACTGAGTGTTATTGCACATTCCCATAATCCCAGCCCTCAAGAGGGAGACAGAGGCAAGGGGAGTGGAAGTTCAAAGTCATCTTTGATATACAGTGAATTTGAAGACAGCCTGAGCTATGTGAGACACTGTCTTTTTTTCCCCTCTGAGACAAGGTTTTCCTGTGTAGCTCTGGCTGTCCTGAAACTCATATTGTAGACCAGGATGGCCTCAAACTCAGAGATCCACCCTCCTCTGCCTCCTGAGTGGTGGAATTAAAGGTGTGTAGCCACCACTGCCTATTGTGAGACCCTGTCTTAAAGGAAAAAAAAAAGAGATATTAATCACAATTCAAATGTTAAAATTTGTGTCATTCCAAGTTCTAAGCTTTTTGATACAAAAATTTAGTGATTATAGTCAATATATGGCAACTATAAAATATGTTTTTAAAACCTTAGGAATATGATAAACATACAGAATAAATGGTCTCTCTAAAGAGTGCTTTCTCCCCTTTTGACCTATAAAAATCTGACATGGGCACATGAACTGTACTCAGTGAAGTAAGCTGCTACACCATACCAACTAAAGGTTTAAACCCTTCCTGACTTGACACTGGCTCTCTGCAACCCTCAACCCAAGGTCCTAAGAGTTTCCCTTAAGAATCTTTGTAAAGGAATATGTACAACATCAGCGCTGGTCAGTAAAGGGGCCTGTTCTTTCATTTTCCTATCCATCATTTATATGGCGTATCACCTATTTTGTGATTTCATGTGAAATTCTTACAATAAATCTGTGAAGTAAATAGATACAGGTAAAGATACGGCTTTGTGTGAAACAAAAACAGCCATGACAAATGAGGCCGAGGCAAACAAGTAGGAAATAGGATTGCTTCTCGCCACTAACTGCAAGGTGAGGCTGGGATGAGCTCAGTGATACAGTACTTGCCTAGCTTGCCACACACAAGGCCCTGAGTACAGTCCTAGCATAACAAAAATAAAAATAAACAGCCAGGCATGGTGGCACACATCTGGAATCGCAGCACTTGGGTGGTAGAGGCAGGGAGATCAGCAGTTCCGGTTCATTCTTAGCTATATGTCATCTGGACATCAGCTTTCATCTGTAGCCAATTAGGCTGGGTCAGAGATCTGTGCTGTGTGCTTTTGTGGTACCTTGTTTACATGGAATAGTAGTTTATTTTGAAGCCTTTCAAAACACGTAGTTTCAAACCCCCATAAAATTTACCATTCTGACCATTTCTCAGTGTACAGGTCAACAAAGCTCAATAATTATAAAACAGAAGTGGAAAAAATTCTCTTAGCACCTTGTTGTGAAAGGATATAATTTAATATCAGTTTACATATATATATATGTAGCAGATAAGTCAACAACTATAAATACATATTACATCAATATAAAACTATATTATATTAAAATATAGTTCAGCAAGACACACACACACACACACACACACACACACACACACACACACACACACACACACACACACACCTCCTATTACAGACTGCTGGTTCACCTTACCCAAGCCCTGGTAATACTGGGGCTAGAACATGTATTCCACACATGCCACTGTGGAAATGTGGAGGGATTTTCTTATGGGCCATTTTATAGCCCATCCTAGCCTTCTTTGTACCTACTTATTTATTTATTTGATCTCATACATGCTTAGTTTATGTCGTGGTGAGGACTAAATAAACACAGGGTATCATACACGGTAGGTGAGCTACATCCCCTGTCCATTATAATTCTTATTTTGAGACAGGGTCTCACTTTATGTTTCTAGGCTCACCTGAACTCACTCTTTTTTTTTTTTTTTTTTTTTTTTTTCTGAACTCACTCTTGAACTTGTGATCCTTTTGCCTTATTATAGGTCTTTGTATAAGCTGAGGTTCCCAGGGGAAAAAAAGAAAATCCATACCTGTGTTAAAAGATTCTACAAGGCTGAATGGCTGCATTTTGTGATTGTAGATAGTGTTGAAGACTAGAACCAGATTATCTTAGACTGTCTTCAATCTCTTTAAAAGTCATTCACTGTCCATTCCTGTGTCTAAACATCCCTGTGACTATCAAAATCTTTAAAATGTGTGGAGAATTTGGTATCAGTGTTTTCCTCAATCACTCTCTACCTTATTTTCTGAGACAGTGTCTCTGATTTAACCTGGAGCTGGATGATGTGACTAAACTAATTAGCGAACAAGCCACAGGGATCCTCTAGTGTTGGGATTACAGGTACCCACTGACAGGCCAGCCTTTACATAGGTTCTGGGGAACAAACTCAGGTCCTCAAGTTTGTGCAGAAAGCATTTTCCTGAATGAGTTATCACTACAGTTCTAAAACATACTCTTTTTTTTTAATTTTTATTTTTTTACTAGCTCCTACCAATCTAAAAGGTAAAATGTTAGCAGACAACATCCCAGACCTATACAGTTTCCCTCAGTTTGCTGTAGCCTGTCTATTTATAGTCACCACCAATGTACTCAGGAAATACCTTAATTTATGGTTTTCTTTGTTCTGTAACTGTAAACTCTCATGTAAACTTCCAGTGGAACATGTCTTTCAGGGCAACCCAAATCTGTGCTATCACCACTCATGTCTGGGTCAAGAATAAACTGTATTACCTGAAGTGAGTGCTGTATTTGTATCAATACAACCGACGACCCTGGAAACTGCCAGGTTTTCATGAATGTATTATTAGTATAAAATATTTGCCTCAAAATAGTAGTTCTCATTTTTACCTAAGATGGGAGGCAAGTGTTCCTGATAATTTAGGAAGAGGAGCCATAAAGCATATTGTATCAGGTCAAGTTGTCAAATTAATAAATTCTCTAGCAATAACTTTATAAATAACAGTGCATTCTGGTACTGCCTAGTGGCATTTCTCAGCAAGAATTAAAGTTATGGAGCTTTGGGGATGTGTTTCCTTCACTGAGGTACTCAATTAAGAAGAATGGCCACACGGTGGCAAAATCATTGGCTACATTTATCAATACTATTCTAAGCACAGAATCTATGTCGGAGTGGGGATGGATGCTTGGTATAATATGGTCCCCTGACACCAGTCTCTCAGTCTTAACAGTGCCTACATCTTCCATGACCATCAGATACATGTTAGAGCAACAGTAGTTTTGTACCACTGAATTAAGACTCCCAAATACAGCCTCATAAAAAAAAAAGGTTTCTGAAAACAATTTACCTGACTATTCAAAAAGCACTACACTGATTTCCAACAGTCATATGTCTTTGCCACCTACGGATGAGAAACTGTAGCATTAAGGTGTGGTTGTACTGTAATGTGTTTTAGTAAAAGGAAGTGAAATCACTGATTGACAGTTCTTGGAGAAAAGGTTAAAAATTCAAGAGTCTGCATGTGGCCCAGAACTTAAAAGCTTTTTTCCCCCTCTTCCCAACAGAAGAGCAGTAGCAAGTAATAGCAGGTTGCCATGGAGACAAGAAACTAGAGGGATCAGAGAACTCAATTTGCAGTTAAATGGGCTGGAAACAATCCTTACTAGTTGGTGTAGGAAAACGATTAAAAATATACTTGATTGCCAGGGGGAATCTTGTTCACCTAGCCATTTTCTAACCTCATTAATGAACAAGGAGAGCTTAAAAGAGAGAGAGAGAGAGAGAGAGAGAGAGAGAGAGAGAGAGAGAGAGAGAGAGAGAATCCAAAATCACTAAATGAAAACCCAAGGCATCCATAGGTTAAACCCACTGAGCATAATTCAGGATTTCAAACATTATCACAATTGTTCCTATCTGATTGACTATGATTCTTGTTAATGACATTTGCTAATATACAGTAAAATGAGACTAAAACTATGTCCAAGAATAAACCACGATAACCAGAGGCTGGAACTTGAGTGGAAACCAACAGCACAAATGGTAACGTAAAGGGCAAAAGACTCAAGAAGTAACAACTCAGATTTAAAAATCTCAGCATACCTTTGTGAGTGCTGTAAAGGGCTGCAAAGGTCACGGTGAAGAAAGTGGTGGAGTATTTGCCAGCATTTACTAAATGAGGAAAGGCCCTTTTTGTGTCACGATACCGGCGCAGGCACTGGATGAAGCGAAGCCAAGCAGGAATGCACTGAACAATGGCTCGTACACCATATGTATATCTGTGGCAAAATTCTGGTTCTGTGAAGATTTCAAAGAAGAAAATCACAATCCAAAAGAGGGAACTAATCACATCACGTAGTCACACAGTCCAACTACCCATCAGCACACCCATAAGATCCAAACCATCTAGTGGGCTCAGTCCCTTTCTCCTATGCAGCCACTGTTGGTACAAGCTTCTCAGTGGTGGATAGGCAAGGAGAGAAGGTAAAAACCACAGAGGGACTACTGGGAATATCTGTCCTCTTAGACTTCTGAATATCCTCGGATTATTTTTTTTTCAAGTGTAATAAAACTATAGGAAAAAGAATCTATTGATCAAAGGAAGGAAAAAACTGCTTTGTTCTGTGAGATTAAACTTATGGAAAACCTACAAAAACCACAGGTACCTAGACAGTTTTATAAGTGCCAAGCTATTATAAAATATATACCCAGAGTACATGTTTTATGGTCTCCCTTCTAATCAAAAACAAGGTAGGACTCATTAATTTCTTATTGTTTTTGCTTCTGAGATGGGGTTTCACTATGCAGCCAAGGCTGAAATGGGACTTTCCATCCAATGGCTTCAGCATTCTCAGTGCTGGGATTGCAGGTGCAAAGTAGGCTGCCACACCCAGTTTTTCACTATTTTTTGTGAGTAGATGCTACATTAGATCTTTGTTATGAATGCAAACTTCCCCAAAAGACAAACTTGACATTACCTAAGAGTAGGTAAAGAGCCAGAAGAAAACCAAGGTTCCAAATAAGATTTTTCTAAAGCAATCTACCAGGATTTTCTCAAGGCACTTGACCTGATTCTAAGCAACTAGCACTTAGATCCCATGTCCCTGCAATGGTATCCTGAGCATTTCTGTGAGGACAAATTGCTGGCACTCTAGCATTTGTGATACAGCTACCAACATAGAGGAATGTTGAGAAATAACTGCAGAATTCTTCGGTATAAGTTGTAAATTTCTTGGCAAGTGGATGGCTAAAATAACACAATTTAAAAGCCAAATTATTTCAGATGAGGAGATTGCTAACAGAATGCCAAGCACATTTAATTAAATTTGTAATGTTATTGGATGAGTTTTCACCATGACCTTAACTGTTGCAGTTATCGTTCCCAATATTTCTTGGTTTATGTTGGCAATTCAGCAGTGTGAATTCAAAATCATAGCCTACCTTTTAGATCAGTTGGCAACAGGCCCTTACTCTCATCCCATTTGAGCTCAAAACTGTAGAAGCAGATCATATATTCCAGGTCCATGAGTATCACTGACAGGCTGTTCAGCTGATCGGCCAGCCAGAAATCAGCAAAGCCTACCTTATGGAAGGGAGCTGTAAATACTCGAAACTGAGGAAAAGAAAGGAAGAAAGAAAGAAAAGATAAATGAAGAGAGAGAGAAAACACAGAAATAGAAAAACATATTAAATTTCTTCAGTTCATGTCTGACATTCAGAGAGACTTCTGATAAGATTTCTGATAAAAAGAAAACCAGGAAAGCACAGTCATACCCAAAGCCTAGCAACAAAGGCTGAGGTAGGCAGGAATAAAGGAATGAGCTGAATGCAAAACTGAAAAGAAAATAGTGTGCCTGTGTGAGTGTGTGTGTGGGTTGTTGGCAGGAACAATAGGTAAAAAATGGAAATTAAGAGGAGGGAGAATAAACTAGGCATAGTTGGTCATTCTAAACCCAGCACTTAGAAGGCTGTAGCAGGATTGGCACAAATTTGAAGCCACCCTGAACTACATAGTTAAGACCCTGTTAAGAAAAAAAGTGCTGGAGGTACAAAGAGGAAATGTAACCTTAGGCTACAAAGCAAACTTTGCTGGACAGAGGACTTAGCTAACAGAATACAAAGTGCTTCTTTGTAAAAAAACAGGTAGGGAAGGGTGGATGAATCTTCTGAGACATGTCACATTCTCTAACCTACATGACATTCTTATACCATTGGGTTTCAAACCCAGACTCTTGTGCATAAGTCAAGTATTCAGTCACTAAACTGCAACCCCAGCCTATGTAATATTTATTTCACTAATTAATAGTAATGACTTGTTAATCCTGGAATTTCACCACAAAATCATGGCTCTTAGTTCTGAAAATGATAAGTCTATTAAGCAAACACATTGAACATTAATCCATGCAATATATTTTCTTCAGGTTTATGGAATACTACAGCTCAATCTTTCTAACAATGCTTTCCTTAAAGGGAGTAGGCTGAGACAGGCCTCACTATGTAGCTCAGGCTGGACTCTAATTTGAAATCCTCCCACCTTTACACACTAAGTGCTAGGATCATAGGTTGTGTTCCACGGTGCCCAATTTTCTCAATTCCAAAGCTAAGAACTATTGTTACTCCCATAAACGCACACCCATCTTGGCTTGTTCTGCACCAACCTATTATAACTGCAAAGAGAAATTTTGGCATTGCAGAGAAGACTCATACACTAATGCCATCATCAGAAATAAGCTCAAGTAGTGGAAAGTACCTGGATGACCCTATACGAAGGAGTATGGATGCAGATAGCTTTTATATTTATCCTGTCAGACTCTCTTGGTTTTATTATACAGAAGAAAATGTATACAATAATGATGATGTACTTCTCTGTCAAAGTAGCAATCTTGAAAATGAGTAAATTTCTAGCTCTTTGGATATATAGCTGTATTTGTTTAGTAGAGAAATTCAACCTGGGAATCTGTGCCAACCCTCCTCTCAGATGTGGCTGGTTCTTTCTACTCAGTCCATTAGCATTTCTCTTCAGAGAGATATATGACTATATACTATGAATCAATCCCGAGTGCCATCTGTAACAAATACTGTATTGGAACTAAACCAGGAAACAATAATACATGTTTTGAGACAATTGGTTTCTGGAGCTGGTATCTTTGGGCTCCATTCTCTTGAGAGCTTCCTTATATTCTGTTGAGTCGGAAGCTATACTATTGCACCATAAGCTCTAGATGGAGGACACTTCCTTACGGGGAAGAGGTAGAATGAGGTCTTAGCAATCCATGTGTGAACAGATTCTGGTGTGAGACTTTGTGATATTTTGAGATACTCTAGGATGTAGAACAGACTTAAACACATCAAAGAAACAAAGGCAAGAAGGTAATTTCCAATATAACACCAAAGGATCAGAAAGTCTAAGTCTCTAGTAGTTGATTTTTACAAAATTGGCAGCCTCGGGGAAATTGATTCCTTCTGAAATGAGACAAGCTTCCATACTCTTTTAGTCATCAACACCATCTTCAAAACCTGGCTAGTCCAGAACGTTTCTCTGAATACAGCAGACGAGTGCAATGCAACAAGAAATAAAGGAGGGAGGCATGAGACTACAAGAGGAATTGATGTGAAAATTAAAAAAAAAAAGTTAAACTGAAATAAAGGGCTTTCCCCCGCCCCCAGAAAAGAGAAAGATGATGAAAAAGAAAGGGAAGAGTAAATGTTGGCTACTTAGGCATTTAACAAGGACTTAAGTACTTACTATATGTCAAGCATTGTGGAAGCATATATAGATAAACAGTCTCTACTCTCAGGGCCTCAAAAGCTTATTAGACCCAGTCTAGTTGGACAAATAAATGCACAGAGATACAATAATAACCCTATGACAAGTGTATCCTAGAGACACATTAAAAAGGATACCCTAGAAAACATATGGGAACAATCAGTTCTGTCACAGGCAAGTCGATAGGGAGGACAGGTCATATTTAACTCTGACATTCATGCACAACCAACTTCATTCCAGCCTTTATGAGCTGTCTTGGGGATGTCTACATGTGGAATCTATGATAGCTGAAGGTAAATATACACTATACTTAATGTGGCTGCTTTCTCTGATCTCATATAGGAGCAAATGGCCCACTACTGATGGGATGTTGATGCAAAAAAAAAATTGGATTTGAAGCATTTCAGAATTCAGGTTAGGGATGGTCAGCTTGTGCAAAGGATATGCTAATATAGACAAACAGCTAACATGAGGCTTAAGTTCTACTTCAAAAATGATTATATGTATGGATATTTTTCCTGCATGTATGTCTGTGCAGCATGTGTGTGTTTGATGCTTTCGGAAGGCAGAAGAGGGAATCGGATCCCTTGGAAGTGGGGTTACAGGCAGTAGTGAGCCACCACATGAGCACTGGAAATCAAATGTGGGTCCTCTGGAAGCGCAATCTGTGGTTTTAACCACTGAGTCATTTCTCTAACCCCCTAAGTTCATGTGCATGTACACTTGATTTTACTACAGAACTATCGAAAATATTAGTTAGAAACCGATCTCTAAATGATATAACTAGGGACTGTATTTTAAAACTTTTTTTTTTTTTTTTTTTTGAGACAGGGTCTGTGTAGCCCTGGCAGTCCTGTACCTCACTCTGTAGACAAGGCTGACCTCAAACTCACAGAGATCCACCTGCCTTTGCCTCCTGAGTGCTGAGACTAAAGGCATGTGTCATCACTGACCAGCTCTACTTTAAATTTTTAGCTAGTTTACTTGAAGAATAAAGTAATATTACTGTTGGAAATCTGGGGCTTTGTTTATACTTTCTAATTGGATTTCTAGTCGGGACAAACACAAATGTAGGAAAGAGACCTAATGGATATAAATAGACTGCACTAGATTAGACATATTAATATTGCAGTAAGTTAGTATCTTAAAGTTCTTAAGCTTACTTTTTTTGAAGGGAAGGTGGCATATGCCAATTTCAAAGATTCCTATATAACCATGAGTATAATGTATATTCCCATATAACTATAAACATAATAGTAAGTAGTCATTACTATGACCACATGATATATGTTTCTTATAGTAAAAATTGGAGGTGAAAAAAAAAGGGAAATATTAGCATTTTATTTTAGGACAAGTCTTTAAAAAACAATTTCAAAGAAACATAACTAAAGTGAAAAAATATTAATTTTCTGACATACATTATAGGGACTAATTCTACCACTCAAGTTTGAGTAAAATAAATTAGTATGATTTTAAATGACCTATATACAATAACACTTTTGTTTCAGTAACAATGATGTTACAAAAGCAACTAATCAATGTTTCATTCTATATTTCACTGCTTCTAAGAGTGCTAGTCTGTTACTCCTTCTTATACATCATTGCTGGTCTATCAATCAGTCTGCATTATTAACACACATTGCAAACAGATACATAAATTCAACAGGGATCATTCTACCAATTATAGTAAGTAGTCATGCATGAAATCAAGGCTTTCTATTTAAACAAATGATTCACTGAAGAATTGCACACTTAGCACACAACATACACAACTACACCATCTTGTTATTGCAACGATATTATCACAGTTAGTTTGCTGAATCTTCCAAAATGCATCATTTAGAAATAATTTTACAGACAAACTAAAGAGGTGGCTCAGTGGTTAATAGTACTTGCTGCTCTTGTGGAGGACTTGGGTTCAGTTCCCAGCACCCACATGGCAACTCACAACTGGCTATAACTCAAGCTCCAGGTGTCCAATGCCTTCTTCTAGCTTCTATGAGCACCAGGCACATGTGACAAACATACATATATGAAGGCACCCACAATAGACAAATCTTCAAAAAATAAACACTTTATAGGGATTTTACATTTATAGGTAATCTAAGATAAAGCTAGTACTTTTAGTATATTCAAGAGATAAATAATGGCTCTATTTTTTCCTTCTCCCTCTAAAACCTCAAATCATCCTCTCTAAAAATGCTGGCATCCCATGCTTTGTAATCCCAGCATTTAGGAACCTGAGGCAGGAAGGTTGTAAGTTCAAGGGCAGCCTAGTTTACATTTTAAATTTCAGGCTAGCCTCAGCTACATAATGAAATTGTATTCCCCACAAAACATTGTTTCCTAGGTTACAGTTTCCTTATGACTGACCAAAATATTCTTGTATATTTAAGAATTATATTCAGAAATCAAATCTAAATTTGGAACAGTAGTTATACTTAAGAGCCCTTTAATTACTTTTTTTTTTTTTAAGACAGTCTCATGGGTACTTTGACTAGGTACACAGTCAAAGATGACAACTTGGGATTTTCCCAGCTCTCACTTCTCCTGATTGAGGGATTACAGGTGTGGGCTACCACATCTGGTTTATGCTGTTTAAGGAAATCAAATTCTATTAACTGAGCTGTATCCCCAGCCCTGAGCTTTTGCTGTCCTCCCCACTCCCAAGGGAGAAAAACAAAGAATTCTGATTTGTAGTAAAAATCTTGGCAGAAGGTAAAATTCACATAATAAAATTCAACCCTGGGAAAGTCAAGAAAATTTGGCCATCTTATTTTCTTAGTTGCTATCAGCATTTACTTTCACTTAAAAGCAAAAATAAACAGGGAAAGCTGTGTTTCAGGTTTTAAGCTCTCTCTCTCTCTCTCTCTCTCCCTCTGTGTGTGTGTGTGTGTGTGTGTGTGTGTTTGTGTGTGTGCGCTCACGCATGCGTGTTCAGACAGGATCTAACTCAGGAATTTACTATGTAGACCAAGCTGGTCTTGAACTCTTGGCAATCTTCCCGCCTCAGCCTCTAGAATACAGGGATTATATGAATGAGCCTCCAAGTGTAACATGGTTTTTGTTGTTGTTGTTGTTTGTTTTGGTTTGGTTTTTTTTGAGACACGGTTTCTCTATTGTTTTGGAGCCTGCCCTGGAACTTGCTCTATAGACCAGGCTGGCCTTGACTCACAGAGATCCTCCTGTCTCTGCCTCCTGATTGATGGGAATAAAGGCATGCGCCAAGAACACTTGGCTTATGTTTTAATTAAAAATTTTTAAACAAGTATTGGTAATCTCCCAGGGAAAAACAAAAAGCAAAGGAAATAAAAATTACATTTTTCAGGGAGGTATATTTATATAATGAAGAAGAAGAACAAGAAGAGAGAAGAGTATTATGGCAATTCATTTTAACCACTATTCTTCCATAGTCTAAGAAACATCTATATGAGAACATTCTTAATTTCAAAAATAAAGCTGGCTTCATTTAGGAGTGCATCAACTCATCCCAGAACTACCTTTACACTGTATCACAAAACAACACAGCTATAATTTTCCAGGACATTCTCTAGTCTACTGTTAAAAAGGTTTTGAGATCATTAAGAAATAGGCAAAGGCCAAGCACTGTGGCAAACCCGCTTTAATACCAACATTTGGTAGCTGAGCCAGGAAAACCATAAAACTGAAGTCAACCTGGGCTATATAAAGGGACTCTGCCTCAGAAAACTGAAAGCAAGGGAATATAAAACAAAATAAAGAAGTTACTACAAACAAAAAAATACAAATGGCACCAAATTCAGCTTGGTGATCTGACAAAAATTCCCTACCACTTTTAAAGAACCAACTGGTACTAAAATAAAGGGCTTGGCTAACTAGTCACATCAACTGGACAATTAGGTACTTTAATGAGACGGGTTCAGGCTGTCTTTAAACAAACTGCTACATAGCTGAGAATGACTATGGACTTCTAATCCTTCTGCCTTTATCTTCTACAGACAGGGATTACATGATGCCACCATGCCCAGCTCTCTTTTGTTTAGAAAGAAGTAAAAAGTTCTACATAGTATCACACTGGTTAAATAACCTGTATAACATAATATAAATAATCATGATTTGCAGAGTCAATTCATATTTGGTTACTTCATACTTCATTTTAGGAGGGGAAAAATGCAAAGCACTTTCTCAGGACTGCCATGTTGGAAACTTTCAAGGTTATCCAGCATGTCAAAGCACCTCTGCTCCTGAAGCTGTGTACACGCATGTGTACAATGTGAACCCTGCATACATGCTGTACCATTCAGCAGCCATGAGTGACCTCTGAGGAAGCCAATAACTAACAGACTGCTCTAAAAATGTCACACAAGCATTCTAAGACTTACCAGAAGTTTAAGCAGCCAAAATCTGGATTTATAGTAGAAAGTTTTGGTGGGGTTGATAAGAAAGAAGACCATAAATCCATAAAGGGCAAGTGGGTACACATATATAGGGATGATACTAATTGGAGCGAAAAAGCATGCCAGAAGGCTCAGGCACCATAATATCCCCAGGAATCCAGCAATCTAAAGCACAGGGAACACAAAAGAAAGTTACTTTTTATCATGACACAGTAAAACCTTTAATAAACAAAGATCAGAAAAATGATAATCTTCAAGTGGAAGGTAGACTTGAATATTCAAGTCAGCTATTCAGTTACTTGCAAACTACAATTCAAGAGACTCTGTGCTTTATTACCTCAAAGAGATGCTGATGAGATAAATTGTTTCTTGGATTAAGTTCAAAGATGAGGACATGATTTACTCCAGCCTGTCTCCAACCATACGTGTTGATGCCCAGTAGAAAAAGGAATTCAATCAGAAGAAAGCCACCCCGATAGATTCTTATCAAGGGCCATACAGTTCTATCTGTTTCAAGTTTAAATACAGCTGAAAGAAAATGTATTGGTTAGTTATAAAATCTACAATGTTCCCTTTAATTATTTTTCTTCATTCTCTGAGACACAGCCCTGCCAGGAGGTTTTCATAAAGAAAGACTACCTAGATTATTTTAAGAGTCCAATAAACTTGTCTCTAGATTCTTTCCTCTTTTGTTTCTTTACTCTGCAGACTGCCATTAGAATAATTTCCTCCCAACTTGGCTTTTATCATGTTATTCTACTGTTCTATAAATTTTTATTTTGTTTTTTGTTTTTTTAAAGTTTTAGTGCTGTAGAGTTAAAGGCTTTCAATGCTAAGACCAGTTTTTGTTTATGGACATTTAGTCCTGACTATCCTGGAGCATGCTATATAGACCAGGTTGGCCTCAAACTCATAGAGATCCTCTTGCTTCTTTCTATTTCCTGTGTGCTGGCATTAAAGGCATGCACCACCATGCCTGCCTGTTATAAGTTTTGCCAACCGGGGCTTCTTCTATGATACTTCCCTTTTCAACACTGCTTTCTCTACCATTAAACTAGTTACAATAACTTTTATCTCACAGAATTACTGTAAAATGGAAAGATACAAAACACAAGAAGACAATGTGAGAATTTAAACGTCATTTATATAGACAATAGTTGACATATATAGAATGCTTAATATGGTGCTTAGTCTTATTCTTTGTGCTTTTACATGTAACAATTACTTTAAGTCATTATAATTGTTCTTTAAGTTAAAAATTACTATCTTCATGTTGACTGAGGAAACTGGAGCACCGTCAGGTTAAGTAATTTGTTCATGGATACTGAGCTAGCATAGGACACAGTGCCCTGGCCTTGAATCCACCTGCCTCTGTGAGGATTAACAGTATCACCACCATACCTGCTTGTAACCTATATAATTTTTGTGCAAAGCCCGTGCTCTCAAGCACTATATTACTCATATGCCCATACAAACATTTAGTACCATCATTATTCTACAGCTTTCTTAGAATTATATTGTTCAAACACTTTAGCTTGACAAACTTGAGCTCTGAAAAAATATCCAGTTTCCAACTTACTTTTCCCAAAATCATCCTATAATATATCTCAATGGTCAGTCCCAATGAATTTCATCCTTTAAAAGTTTTCCCCCAGCAACTCAATGCTCTTTTATTTCATCTCTACAAATGTATATACTTACTTAAGTAACCATTTATTATTTACCTTTGTATTCTCTACTGTATAAAAATATTTAATAACTTAAAAATAACAGGGGAGAGAGTATTTGCTTTAGAATTAAATACTATATAAACCAGATAGCAAATCCTAATAGAATAAACTATTTAACTTAGAGTTTTCAGTTATTAGTTTTCTCTTGGTCAATGAAAATAATGTCTGCTCTCAACACTGGACTTGATCTCCAGTACTCCATAAATCCGGGTTTATACATGTCCGTTATCCCAGCACTTGGGAGGTGGAGGAAGGAGGATCAGAAGTACATATAGTTTGAGGTCAGCCTGGATTACATGAGACCTATTTAAAAAACAAATCACAAAACAAAAACAAACAACATACTTTCACAAGCTTGTTAAGACAAAATGTGAACACAAATGCCTAATGTTTGACCTATGATTATTATCAATATATATACATATACATATATATATATATATATATATATATATATATATATCTCAATCTCATAAGTTTCTATTAGTTGCAAAATAAAATATTTATGGAAGTACTTTTCACATATCTTTTACACCCAACATCATTCTAAGAACTGGAGGTTCAATAGTGAATAAAAGACAAGATATCAATTTCAACTTAACTCAGGTCTACTTAACAGTATACGGTAAGAGGGATAGGAATAAAGTGGCAGATAAAGACTCTGAGGAGACTACACTTGCCTTAAGGAATGAAGAATAAACCCTTGGAATCTCTAGAGGACTCCAGGCAGGGAGAAAGGACAAAGAGTTCAGTAGTGGAAGGCCAAGGTTACTATCATTGGAATGAAATAGAGATAAAGTTCCAGTGACATATCAGACAGGGGTGTGTAAGTACTTCCTCCAGACTTAAGCTTTAATTCTGATGTACGAACTAGTAGATGGTTCTGAATGTTAGGACCCAAACAATCACTTTAAAGGCTCGTTTTAGTTTTTATGTGACAAATGGACCACAAGAGAACCAGCATAGAGTCAATATTAGCTGGGAAATTAGATGAGTAGAAAAAACACATTTGTAGCTTTATGTCCGGAATACTAAGCAAAGACCCCAGGCATTACAATGTCAGAAAAAAAAATATACATACATACATACATACATACATACATACATACATACATACATATGTTCCAAAGAATCCACAATGAAACTGTAAGAGTTAGTAGTTTCAGCAAAGCTGCAGAATACAGGGTCAATCAACACACAAATTCAGTTGTATTTATATAATCAGCAATAAGCAATCTGAAAATAAAATTATGAAAAAATTTTTGATTATAGCAGTACCTAAAAGAATAAAAGAGAAGTATTTTTTTAATTTAAATTAGAAAGTTTAGTAGTAATTTTAACCAAAGAGGTGAAAGACTCATATGTTGAAAGTAACAAAACATATAGAAATTAAAGTAGACTTTAGTACATAGAAAGAAATATCATGCTCATAGATTTGATATTGTTAAAATGACAACAAATCTATACATTTAATGAAATCCCTGTCAAAATTCCAGTGGCCACTTTATTTTCAAAAATAGAAAAGTCAAGCAATGTTGTATGATGCTTGATATACATAATTTTATTGATTTTCACTGTAAAAACATACAGTGAGCCAGGTGTTGGTAGCACATGCCTTTAATCCCAGCACTTGGGAGGCAGAGGCAGAGGCAGAGGCAGAGGCAGAGGCAGATGCAGAGGCAAAGGCAGGTGGATCTCTGTGAGTTCAAGGCCGGCCTGCTCTACAAAGAGAGTTCTAGGGCAGCCAGGGCTGTTTACATAGAGAAACCCTGTCTGAAAAAACCTAAAAAGAAAAAAAAAAAAATCCATACATACATATTTTGTTTTGATCACGTATACCTCTCAAACCCTACCCTATTTCCACGCCACATTTCTTTCTCAATTTCACGTAGTTTTTAAACTCACGAAGACTAACACTGCCTTTATTGACATGGGTATAGGGCCATCTACTGGAGCATGGGTAGCCTCTCCAGGAACACATCCCTGAGGAAAATGCACTTAGTCCACCAAGAGCTATCATTTCCCAATAGATCCTCCGTCACAGGTGAGGCTTCATAAGCCTTTTTGCATTCCATGCTGGGACTTTGGATGATCAAATTAGTTTTGTTTCACTAAAAATATTTAAGAATAAAGAATATATGTGTAAGATAAAAGGCTTTCAAATATAAAGGATGTAAGAAGCTTCCTACCTTCAAGTCCTTGCCTCCTTCCCTAGAGGTTACCATGTTAACAGTTTTGTCTATTACCTTCCAAGAAATTCTTCACATACCAAAAAATACCAATTAACTTTCAAAACAATACAACCAATCAATTACAAATAACAGCATGCCACATATGGCTATCCTAAAGCTTGTTTTTTCAATTACATCCTAGAGTAGTTATTTTTCTCATAAATACGCACAAAAATCTCACTTATTTTTTTCTAATGTATGTTATATACTATAGGAAGATGAACAAATCATAATTAAACAGTATGATAAATTTCCACAACAGTGAATCAGGACTCAGAATACAAAACAGTGCATGAATGACACCCCAGAGGCCTGGCTTTGTATCTTTTTTCCAGCCATGATAAGCACTTTTTTCTAACACTAATTCTTTTTATCTTCCTGTAAATTAAATCATGGAACATGTACTTTTGGTATCTGGCTTCCTTTGTTTACTTTGAAATGGCTAATTTTATGTTATACACACCTCACTTTCATTTGCTTGTGAGATTCATCTATGTTTTTGTATGTGGCTGGCTATATTTCATTCTTCTCACTGCTGCATACTATTCCATTGGGTAAAACATCTGCTAATTGCTGATGAACATTTGGGTAGTTCCAGTTTGGGGACATTAACATGGGATAGTTACTAATGTTCTTGAATGTTTCCTCGTAGATATATGCACTTATTTCTTTTACAAAAGACGGATCATAGGTTAACATATGGTCAGTTTTAGTAAATAGAGCCAAACCATTCTCCAAAGTCCTATGCCTACCTTTTATTTCTAACACTAGTCCCCATGATATGCCATTGTACATGGCAACACAACTCATTTGCACAGTTCACAAGCAGTGGCTATATGAGCAGTTGCTGTTATAAGCAACATGACGATAAATAACTTCTTTATCTTTAGGAGCCTAGGTTGTAAGCTAATTTGTTAAAAAAAAAAAAAAGACTGAAGTTAGTCAAAATTATAAAATGTTTACATATACTACATTATTTTCAATAGAAACTTCAACGATCAACCGTCTTATTAACTTATAAGTGCTTAGTTTACACCATTATATTACTGTAAATGGTAAACTAGTAAGTGAAATAAGGCATACTGTGATTATTTCAAATTGAGAAAAGGTTTCTAGAAGAAAATTTGGGGAAAAAACTATACAGCAAAAATTTCATTTTTATGAATCTAAATCTGTGGGATATGTGATTTTTTTTTTCTGGCAAATTATTGAACACTGGGCCAAGTCCCCTCAAGAAACCACAGCAATTATGCACATAATTTTTTATGTGGATGCTCTAAGAAAAGAATCGTGCTTGTACATGCATTACTACCGCTGCGGTTCCCTCTGACTCTCAACACTGTTATCTTCTGAGTACCCGAGGGGACATAAATAAGGATAGACAGCTGGCTTTATCTCTGGTTACCCTCCCCCTCACGAGTACACAGGAAGATCAAACAAAGAAGGGTTCTGAGGTTAGAACATAATACATAATGCTAGCTGTATAAGTTGCATGCATTTCAAAAATCAAACTATCACAATAATAAGTCCATATTTATTAAAACCCCAGCTTGACATAAAACACACAAACAAAAAACCCTTTACATTTAATTCATATGAAAAGAAAGACATTTGTCTTATGATAGTGAGGGTTACACTACCACATACATACATCTTAGAAATTAGACAAGTAAATCTACTCATAAATGAGTAACAATATTTTTCTAAAGAGAGAGTCACATGAGCAGTCTATACTTGGTATTGATGTGCTTCACAAGATGTGAGCTGCTCTCAAAGATGGATCATCACCCTGCTCTACTAACAGGCCTCTCGTCAGCCCAGGCGTCAGCACTGCCTCTCCAGTAACTCCCTCCTCCTATACCTGACTCTCATCCCAGACCAGCTAAGTTACTCTCTTTCCTTCTGTGGGTAAGGCTTTTAATTCCATCAACTTAAATGTCACTTCTTCCACAGTGTCTGCCCAATAGTCTAATTAAAAACAAACAAACAAAAAACAAACAAATCACTCAGTTGTCTCATTGTACTGCTTAGAACATTTAACACTTTCTATATTTTTGAGGTATATATTACAGGTGTTATCTTAAGATAACACTGACCTCCTGATTCTCCCAGGTCCATTGCTAAATGCTGATTATAAGTATGCTACACAACTGTCTGAAAGATTGCTCTCATCTACTTTTGCGGTACTGGGGACCTAACCCAGGAGTCCATTTATGATAGGCAAGCATACTGCTACTGAGCTACACAACTCACCATCTCCCCACCCCACCCCCGCCATGCACAATTTTTTATGTCTTAGGATAGGGGATTAAGGACAATCAGGAGATACAAAAAATTGACTTGTGCATGGGCTAAGGAGATGGCTCGGTGAGTGAAGTGCCTGTGCTGCAAGTGTGATGATGTGAGTTTGAATCTTAGGAAACCACATAAAAAGCATGATTTTTATAACATTAATCCATAATCCCAATACTCCAGCAACAAGTTGGCAGGTGGACACAGGAGAATCTTGGAAGCTTATAGGCCAGCCAGTCTGGCAGAGCAGAGGTAAATAATAGAGCAACCCTGCTTCAAAATGAGATGGAATGATACTGGATGTTGTCCTCTGACTTCCCACATGTGCAGAGATATGTGATAGTTCTTGAATCCACAATTATGCAACACACACACACTCACTCACTCAAGATTTTAAAGTTACTTGTGGATGAATAAATACATTCTCAAGTAATTCTGTAAACTTAAGGTCTTAAGCACATTTAATACATGAGGAGACTGTTTTAGAAAAGCCAACAGTTGTCCATACAAAATAACAGCAGAGCTGGAACTTCAACTCGTCCTGTTCATGGCACCTAGCTTGATAAGCTAGGTCAGAGCTTGTACTATAGAACTTCCATATGTTTTATACAAATAAACTAAAATTACCTTATATAAACAGAAACAGGTTACCAAATGATCATAAATCTCATCAATATTACATCATAGGCTATGGGTCCATAATACTTAGTAAGTGGTGGGAAGGAGAACTCGTAATGTTTTTGTTGTGAACCTAGCCTTTAATGGCTGAGCCATCTCTCTAGCCAGAGAACTCTAGTAATACAATGAAAACATGCTGGCAATAGGTAAAGTTCATGTAAAAGCCCTTACAATTTGGGGTATAACTTTATAATGCAAAACAGGCAGTGCTGAGAATTCTTACAAGGAATAATGAGTTCTGTACACCATTTAATTTCAACTCTTTATCTCTTCCATCCCATCCATTCAAACTTCCTCAATATATTTTTTTAATTCCTATTATGTTCCATGTAGTATTGCAGTGCTAGAGACAAAAGCCCAGGCATTGGGAAATTTGGCATCAAGTCCAAATGTGGTTTACATGTTAGTGGGAAAGCAGAGGCCTAGGGACACCCTGTCAGATAAGTCTTCTGAAGAAAACAAATGTAGATTAAAGGAACAAAAAGACACAGAATAGACTGGTCAAGTGTAGGGGACCACGGAAGGTCTCACTGCAAAGACAGCACACCCTGGAAAAGAATCCCTTAGGATAGATGTGTTCAAAGAATAGTAAATGAAAATGGGTGAGTACAGGGGAGAAAGATACGATAAGAAGTAAGAAACGACTAAGTGTGCAATATCCTCAAAGGTCTTGCATAGTATGGTAAGGAATTTGAAGAGAAGCTGTAAGAGAAGCCATAAATAGATTTTACATAGGGACATGGGCTGATGAAGAACGGTTGAGGAAAGGAGTAAGGGAGGAAGAAAACACTCTCCCACAAACTTGTGGTCAGAAGAGGGCAACACCGGATGTGAAGAGACAAGTTTAGAAGGCTACTGTACATTAAATAAGAAATGGCACTTGAGACAAGGACAGTATTAATGAGTGCAGTGAAAAGTGATCAAATTCATAGTATGAAGACAGAGCAATATGACTTCTTGTATGTATTAGTGATAAAATATGAGGGATGTAGTTTGGATCCTGTTTTGGCCAAAGCTCACATCTTGGTCATGTGTCATGTGTGTTGGAGAGAAACTTTAAAACACTGGGAAGGATCCTTGAAGACTGTACTAGAACATCCTCCCTCCCCACCCAATGCTCTCTGGCTTCCACTCAGTGAAAATTTTTACTCTCCAATAGTCCTCATCATGATATTCTTTCTGCCTTGCCACAGGCCTGAACTGACAGTGCCACATGATCAAGGACTAAAATCTTTAAAACCACGAGCCAAAATAAATCTTTCTTCTTTTTAAGTTGATAATTTCAGTTAAGACAGGGTAAACAGGGACTTAAAGTTTTGGACTCTATTTGGGCAATTTAAAAACAAAAACAAAACAAAACAAAAACCCCAAGGGTCCTTTTGTCTATTTAAATGGAAAATGCCTATTATATATCCATACAGCCAATTAGATCTTTTTTCAGAGGAGAGAGGATATATACTCATGAGTCATTAGCATATAGATACTATTTGTAGCCATAGGCTTGAATAATTTACCTAGATAGAAAATGAACAAGATGGTAGAGATGTGAGGATTAAATATATTGGGACTACCCAACATTTCAATGCCATAAAAAATAGCATGACTTGGGAAAGAAATAATAGGAAAAATAAGAGGTGTGGCATTTGAAGCTTTTCAAACAGTGATAGATAACGTGAAATGCTACTAAAGGGCTCCTCAAATTTTGGGGCAGGGATAGTAAGGCTGTCTGTCACGTTTAGTAAGGAAACCTGTCCCTTGGTACTGTATTACCACAGCTGCTCCTATAGAAATCCGTTCTAATTTTTAACTTCTTTATGTGTGTGTTTGTTTTGTTTTTTTGAGACAGTCTCATTTATCCCAGGCTGGCCTCAAATACATACACTATGTAGCTGAGGAAATTCTTGAACTCTTCATCTTTATGCTATTAGATCCCAAAAGCTGGGACTATCAGTATATGCTACTATGCCTGGCTTCATGTAGTGCTGTTGATTGAACAAAGGCCTTCTTGCATGCTAAACAAGCAACCTATCCCCTAGTTGTAACTTTTGTTGAATTGAAAACTACATAGCCAAACATGCAAAGGCGACATGAGCAGGTTCAGAAAAACATGCGTGGTCTCTATAGTAGGTTAATAAGTGTAGTGGATGAACTTTGTAACATACTTATCTTTATCTATGGTTACTCTTTATCTAGTGCATGCTTGTGTATATGTGTGCATGTGCCTGTCATACATAAGGAGGTCAAGGACAGTCTGTGGAAGTCAGCTTCATTCTTCTACCATGTGAGATATGGGGATCAAATTCATGTAGTCAGACTTGGCAGGCAGCAAACATTTTCAGTCACTGAACCAAGCTTAAGTTCTTGATAACTGAACTCTACAATTCCTGAAGTTAAATACCAGAAAACAATAGTAAATAAGAAATCAATGATTTAAAGAATTATATCCCAAAGGAAAAATAACTGCTAAAACCTCCCACAAAACTTTCAGTAGTTTTGGTAGATGTATACTTCATTATTTACAGAAGGGCAAAATATGTCATAAACATAATAAGAACAAACGAGCTAAAAAGTTAAGAATTACCTGCAAGCACAAGGGTAATATTCAACACAATGAATATTCCACAAAATAGGCCAACTCTAAAAGTAGTCCATGCTGGTGCAGGCTGTGGACAAAAAACAGAATTTTGAGTTTAACAGACAAGATACCAAACACATGTAATACAAGGAAAGTATATTTTATTATCATAACTCTGAAGCAGAGGATTATTTACACTCCATTATCCTGTAACTAGAACAGGAACACTATTGAGTTATTTTACAGAAATCTGAATCATGGGGCTGGGGAGGTGCTCATCTAGTAAAGTGCTTGCTGTGTTGACATGAGGCTGGACCCTAGCAACCACATAAAAAAACCAGGCAGATCCCACATAAAAAGCTGGGTACAGGGTATGTTTGTAATCCCGGTGACAGATGGTCAAAGGCAGAAAGATTCCTGGAGCTTGCTGCACAGTAAGCCTAGATAAACTGGATGGCTCTTGGTTCAGTGAGAGACTGTTTCCAAAAGCAAGTTGGAAAATGACTAAGGAACAGGAACATGCACACGCACGCACGCACACACACACACACACACACACACACACACACACACACACACACACACACACACACACGGCGGCGTGAGAGGCAGGGGAGGCGAGAAAAGGAAACAGAGAGAAACAGGAGTCATAAAATAAGATGGTAATTTCAAGCTTCAGATTAATACACTGAAGTATATTTTCTTTGAATGACTTAGAATGCAATTTAATTTCTATAAAATGTATTTACTTCTACATTTTAAAAGTCAGAATTATTTAATTAGAGTTTACTTTTTTGGTACTATGAATAACAAGAACCAATGGTAAAGATAAGAATACTTTCTGATAATATGTTATATTTTTATACTGAGAAAAAAATTGAAAAATTTTAAGTATTTACTTATTCTTTTATTTACATACATGTGTTCCTCTGTGAGTTTATGTACACCACATGTGTGCAGATACCCACAGAGGCCAAATGACATCAGATCCACCTAAACCTGGATTTAACATGGTTTTGAGTTTCCTGTGTAGGTCTTGGAGCCAAACTCAGGTCCTCTGCAAGAGCAATAAGCACTTCTAACTTGTGGGCCATCTCTCTAGCCCCTTAAATGAAACATTTTAAGCTATGCTAGAGTTATTAAGAGATGAGCATATTAAAATCTCCAGTACAATGAATTTAATTATATTCTTCCAATTACAATAATTGGATTGTTGTTATACCAATAACAAATAGAAAATTCCTTAGATTTTAAATATAAAGGTATGAAGGACAGATAGATAATGTTTTAATGTTAAAGGTGAGAGATTAGACTTAATTACGGCCCCCCCACTGAAAGCATCAAAACTGCCATTATTTGTCACAAGAGTGATCTGTATTGTCAGTTTCCAAATGAAAACATCTAGAAGGAAGATAGCAATTTATCTTTTCTTAGAAGCTACTTTAGTTTTAAAAATTATACAATATATTCTATTCATAAAAGAATGTATATTATATTTAGAATGTTAGAAATAGCTGGTCAAGTGAACATATATGGTGACTACCCTAGTCTTTGAATACCATCCTTCCCTTTCTCATCATCAGATAGCCATTTCTGTAGGACTGTCTCCTCTAAACACATTTTCAAACACTTTAGTTTTTTAATTATTTTTTCTCACTTTAAAGTTTTATTCTGATATAAATGGTATAATAAACTATATACACTTAAAACACAATTTCTTTGTTCTGATGCTTTCACAGTTTTTTTCTCTGTATCTTTCAATCAGTTTGACTCTGATGTGTCTATGGATTTTTAAAATTCTGTTTTATTGAATATATTAGCATACAATGAATTGCACACACACTAGACTTAAAGTATTTAAGCTGATAAGATTTTTACAAGATTTAGTACATATAGATATTCATGAAATCATAACCATAATGAAGACAAGACAGTAGACTGCGCAAAGCATGGTGACACAGGTCTGTAATCCTAGCACTCAAGGAGTAATGGCAGGGGCAGCAGGTGTTCAAGGCCAGCCTTGGCTACATAGTGAGTTTGAGGTCAACCTGGGCTATATAAAACCTTGTCTCAAAAAAAAAAAAAAAAAAAAAAAAAAAAAAAAATCCAACATTCTAACATATTCACTACTTCGAAGAGTTTCCTCCCTTTGTTGTCTTTCTTTCCTGCCTAAAACTCACTCTCCTCACCAGCCCCCTCCTTTCCCCCTGCCCCTTGTAAACAATATTTTGCTTTCTGTCATTTTTACTGGTTTATATTTTCCAAAGCATTAAATATTTATTTATGTTTTAGAATATATCAACAAATTATTTCTCAGGCTGAGAAGATATAGCACAATTGTTTATCCAGGCAGTTTCCAGCTTTAGGCTACTACAAATAAAGTTACTATGAACACTTATGTAGAAGTCTTCTTTGGGGACATATGTTTGCACTTACTTGTCTTAGATAAATACCTCAGACTAAAATAGCCAGTCATGTGGTAGATGTACATTTAACCCTTTAGGAAACTCCCCAACTATATGCTAGTGGGTTAGTTACATCATCTACTCCACCAACAGCCTAAGAGATGGGGTTCTGGTCCTCCAATCATGGGTGTGGTCAATCTCTGAATTATAGTTACGGTTACTGGTAGTATCTCTCTATGGTTTTAGTTTGCTGTCTCAAATGGTCACTTAAGTGGAGCACCTTGCCATGCTCCCATTTTCCAACGTGACAGGTTGTTTTCTCGCTAACTATTGGTGTCCTCTATGTGTTTTCATAAATATTTTCTACTAGTTTAATACTCTTTATATTCCTTTACAGAGTCTTTTGAAGATTTGTTTTGAACTTTGATGAAGTACTTTTGATGTCATTTCTAAAAAGTCTTTGAGTCACCCATAGCTGCTATTACTGCCCCCCTATATTTTCTTCTAAAACTTTGTAGTTTTAGTTTTAACTTAGGTCCATGTTATGTCTAAAAACATGTGGATAAAAAAAAATAAAGGCTTGTGTTTTCTTTTTGCATAGATAATCCAATTGTTCAAGCTATTTGTTGAAAACTTTATTCTTCCTATACTAGCATGCTTTATGCCTATATTAAAAATTAGTTGCATACATATTTGTGTATTCTTAGATTCTATTCTGTTCCATTGAAGTGTATGCCTATCTTGACTCTACTTTACTGCAGCTTTAATAGTTTTTTAGACCATATAGTGCTAATATTTTACCCTTTATTTGTTTTCAAAGATGTACTAGCTATTGTAGGTTTTTGCGTTTGCATGCATTTTAAAAGTAGCTTACCAATTCACCCCCCCACACACAAACAAAACAAAAAACAAACAAAAAACCACAACACACTCAAGCGTGCACAACCCCCACCCCCACACCACACTCTTACTGAGATTTTTTTTTTTGATGGATTATGCTCTATATATCTAAAATTAAGAAATGGCTTCCTAAAAATACTGAGCTTATTTACATAATATTCCCATAATTCAATGCCTCTCACTTTAGTGCTCTCTCTGTATTTTATTTCAGCAATGTTCTGTAATTTCCAGTGTAAAAATCTTTCAGCTATTGCCAGAACTATTATTACACATTTCTTATTTCTGTGGCATTATTAGTAACATTTTGACTTTTAACTGTACCTGATGTGCAGACATACACTTGATTCTTTACAAACTGGTGCTGTATTCTACAAGCTTTTTAACTCCCTTATTAGCTTAGAAGCTATACAGATCATTGGATTTTCTACAGAAATCAATTTACTAAAAACAAAAAAATAACAAAACCTCCAACATTTTTATCTTTCTTTTTATGTCATTTTTGATCCTATCACACTGGCTATAATCACCAGGAAAGGTTCAATGACAGTCTTAAGACCGAATACTCAATTTTTCCTGGTAACAAAAGAAGTATGACATCAAGTCTAATTTTTTCAAACATGCCAGTTATTAAGTTATAGAGGTTCTTTATTATTAATTTCAATACACTGTGATCACAGAAAATACTCCATGATAAAAATTCTTTTAATTTACTATGATATGTTTTATGTGACAGAAGATAATCACGTAAGTGCTATATGAATAGCATTTAATAAGCCCCTCACCTCTTTTGCAGGGGTATAACTGCTATGGAAAAAGCTATATGATAACCCTGTACATCTGAACTTCTAACATAATGAACAACAACAAAACCTTATCGTAGTTGATAAGACAACTAGCAAGAAGCAAGTGTGTGTAAGAACAAATGGGAGGGGGAGTTGAGGGAGAGTATTAAGAAATATACGCAAGATACTGCAATTCATTATGATATAAAGGTTCATATCTAATTTTTCCTTCTTTCTTTCCTTTCCCTGACATGGGTCTTATTATGTAACCCATACTGGCCTGGTTATTATGCCTTAACCTCCTAACTACTGGATTAAAGCATGTGCCACTATGCCTGGATCTTAATACCTACTTTTAACTTATTATGATAATAATAATAATAATAATAATAATAATAATAATAACAACAACAACAACAACAACAACAACAACAACAATAATAATAGCAACTACTTACAAAATCTGGCTTAAAAAATTTCAAGGTAATGATAGCAGCCAACAATCTTGTGTTAATTATTAAGTGTGAAAAAGGAAAACAGACACTAGAAGCATATACTAACCTGAGCAGCTCCCAAAGGAGGGACACGTAATCGCTTCATAGCCTTTTGTCTGTCACCATCTTCAAGTTCATTGGTCACTACAGCCTAGAAAGATAAATCGTCAAGTTTTGGTATAAATTATCCTAAATAAAAGTGATACACATACATATACATGTGTATAATGGTCTGATAGCCTTTTGATAAATATACTGATAAAGCAAAAGCAAAAGATCTTAATTAAGAGCCTAAGTATTCTAAGCCAGCAATTTACAAAACAAGTGGATCGTTTCTTTAAAATATCTGCAAACGAACATATATGACAAGCAAGCAAAGATGTTGTACCTCAGTCTCAGAAATGAGCTGGTTGATTTTCTTGCATGTATAAAATGGGGCTACCTCTACATGAGCTACTCGCCAATCTGCTCCACGAGATGTTTCCAGGATTTTGTCATGCTTTTTAAGGATTTTTCGAAACCCTGTAAAGTTCAGATTCTATAGGAAGAAAAAAGAAATACAATTATCATTTCTACCACTAAGGCTCCCCTGTAGCTTATTGCTTTCCTGCTGCCAAGGTAGAATTCTACCATGAACACAACTCCGTTATTTTTCTTCCAAGTAAATTAATGAAAATTCTAAGCTCAGAACATTTTTTTATTTCCAACTTTCCACATATAACCATTTTAAAATTGGTTGTTTTGCTGCTTTGGCCAAAAGAGTATTTTCAGAAAATGTTTTCCATTTATCATGCACTGAATCCATTTATTTTAATTCTTTGCTCTTTCAGGGGTGTTAAAGAGTTCCTTTCACTTCTACAGGCATGCATACAGGTAAGAATAATGGACACGTATCTAGTTCTCTTAACTCTGCTTTTCTATTCATCTCAGTTTAGGGATGAAAGTAAGAAGGAGAGGTTGGCAGAAAGGAAGAAAGAACCATTGCACAGGGCAGGTGACAGTGGGTAGGAATTCCACATTCCTTCAATTTCTACAAAATCAAAATACTATATTTTCCTATACTCACATATTCACTTGTAGTTTGCCCATCATCTAAAATGGCAGGAAAACACTGATTTGCAGGTCAAGATGAGCTCTACCACCTGAGGGTTCTTGCTCATTTGTTAGAAACTGTTCCTTATACCATAATGTAATACCTTAAATTCTTCTTGGGTACAGCATACATCTTAACCTAGAAACAGGTGTGTGTGTGTGTGTGTGTGTGTGTGTGTGTGTGTGTGTGTGTGTGTGTGTTTACATGTAATGTAGTCTGTGTTCATGCATGTGTGTGAATGCATAGGTTGTCAGGGGCTGACATTGGGTATCATACTCTATAGCTCTCTACCCTTTCTTCTTTTTTAAGGGCCAGAGTCTTTCACTGGACCTGGAGTTCACCAATTTGGCCAGACTGGCCCTAGACATCCTCTTGTCTCCTCCCCAGGCCTGGAATTAAAGGCCAGTGTAGCCAACCTGGCCTTTCTTTACTTGGGTGCTAGGAATTTGAAGTCAGGTCATCCTTGCAGCTGTACAAGAGAACTCTTAGAATTACTGTTGAGGCTGGAGAGATGGCTCAGCAGTTAGGAGCCTTGTTCTTGCTGAAGACCTGGGTTGAATTCCTAATTGTAAGACAATGGCTTACAACTGTCTGTAACTCCAGGAGATCCAAAGCAGTGGTTTTATTTGTTTGTTTTAATAATTGTCCAACACAAAAGGTGCTAGAAATATGGATAGTTCCTATTAATTTTTTAAAGATTTATTTTCATTTTTGTATATGTGTCTGTATAACTATGTCACACATGTACAGGCGCCTGTGAAGGCCAAAAGAAGAGAACAGATCCCTGGAACTAGAGTTAACTGGCAGTTGTGAGCCTACTGTTGTGGCTACTGGGAAATGAACTCAGGTTCCCTAGAAGAGCAGCAAGTATTCTTAACAGTTGAGTTTTCTCTCCAACTCAAAAGGTTAATACTTAAAAACCTGTGGAAAAGCTCTTAGTTTCTTTTAAATATTTAGTTATTCATGTGAATTTTTTAAAAAATTAAATTATAAAGCTATGGGGGAAAAATATCAAAAAAGGGCCTAGGTGTGTGGTTAATGAACCTGGCCCACAGGAGTCTAAGGCAGGAGGATTTTATGTCCAAATCAGCCTGAGATATACAACAGAAACAAAGCAATTTATCACTTATTTCTATCACTATTAGTTTTCTGCTGAGTTATTTCTCAACTGGTTCTTCTTTGAATGATAAAACATTAAATCATCAAAGAAAGTTATGAATGCATGGAAAAAGTACACTATTAACACCTTGCATTGTATATAGGAGATTTCTTGTACTTTGTATTTTAAAATTTCAACACTGCAGGGAAACCATTACAGTTATTATTCTGAGACAGAGTCTTAAGCACTACACAAGCTGCTTTCAACTCTGTGTAGCTGGGATTGTTGTTCTTTTCATACAACTGCTGCCTATGAAACACAAACACGAGACTCAGCGCCTACAAGGAGTTTATTGGTAGAGGGGAGAGAAAGGAGGAGAGAGAGAAAGAGAGAGAGAGAGGAGGGGGAGAAGAGAGAAAGGAGGAGAGAGAGAAAAAGAGAGAGAGAGGAGGGGGGAGAAGAGAGAAGAGAGAGGAGAGAAGAGAGGGGAGCAAGAAAGAGGGAGAAAAAGAGAGAAGGGGTTAAAGAGCAAGAGAGAGAGAGAGAGAGAGAGAGAGAGAGAGAGAGAGAGAGAGAGATGCGCGCTTGGCGTGCTTGCTTTAAAAGGGAAACTTGCACATGCATAACTGAGTCCCCTGTGCAGGTAAGCAGGTAATGCATGTGAGCAGCCAGATAAGTAGTGAAGTAGAGATGACATAGCCACGAGTGTCCTGCCCATTGTCAGGGGGTGGGGTCAGCAGACTGCTAGGTTCCAACAAGGATGATCTTGAACTTTTTATTTTCTCGCCTCCACTGGTCTAGTGCTAGAATTTCAGGCATGTGCCATCATACTGGGTTTTATGCTAGGCAAGCACTCTACAAACTGTGCTGTATCACTGGCTACTACAGGCAAAACTTTCCTTGCCTAACTTACTTTTTTTTTAAATTTAATTATATTCTGCTTCTTATTTATTTATTATGTATACAATGTTCTGCCTGCATGTGCCCCTGCAGGCCAGAAGATTCACCAGATCACATTACAGATGGTTGTGAGCTACCACGTGGGTGCTGGGAACTGAAATGAGGTCCTCTGGAAGAGCAGTCAGTGCTTTTAACCACTGAGCCATCTCTCTAGCCTGCAACTTTTACTTTTTAGATGTTCTATCATTCTACAGTGTGCTAACCATTCAGAATAATGATGATGATGTCACCTTTTGGGGATTCAGTGCCATCAATGTCATCCCACTCACTGGAGTTGACTTTAAAACACCACTCCCCAGAGTAAGACTAAGCACCTGATAGTTCTGCAGCAGAATGAGGCTGAGGTAGAACTCGCTGAAGGCCAGCTTAAGGTCTTTAATGTTCCTGTGCTGGACACGCTCCTCGTGGGACAGGTGGAAGACTGGCTTTCTGCGCTGTCGCAAAGTAGTGACGCCGATGCTCTCTTTCTGTGCATCCAGTGATGACTGAAGCTCACTCTGAAGTGTAGCAAACCTGCGCTGAGCCTCTGCCAGCTTCTCTGTAAGTAAAGAGCATGATCCAAGCAGGTTAAATATACACATACAAACAAAACAACCAGATATATACATTTTTTTTAAAAAAATTTAAAAATAAAGTGTACTCATCTAATCTTACGTAAAAGAAGCAACAAGTAACTCTCAATTTTGAATCATTTTTGTTTTATTCAATTCTAAATTTTTCTTAATTATACTTCTCCTAGAATTTCTAGGGGAAATATCACACATATGTAGAAATAGATTGGAGAAAACATTTTGGCACATCACCTGTACATTCTACCTCATACTTTCCTCCTTGCAAAACTGTTACTGCACCTAGTCTCAAAGATTTAAAAAAAAAAAAAAAAGTACAATCACTAAGAGTGAAAACATAAAACAGTACAACTATTATGAATTTGGAGAACAGTTAAATATGACCAGCAACACTCATCCTAGGCATATATCTAAGAAAACTGAACATAAGGCACCCACAAAAAACCTTGTATACATATATAAACATGTCCTCCTAACAGCCAAATGTCTACCATGTATTAAATGGGTAAACAAAAGGTGGTGTAGTGTGCTGTATATACAAACATAAGAGTAAGGATCAATTTATGAGATACAATGTAAGTGGTCCTTAAAGTATGTTAAGTGAAAGAAGCCAGACAACCCCGCCCTCCAAGTATAATAGACTCCACTTATATGCACTGTCTAAAATAGGAAAAACCACAGAGGCAGAAAGTAGAGTAGTAGCTGGGGAAGGAGAATGTAGAGTGCCTGCTAGCGGGAATAAGAAGTAGTGTATCTTTGAGGAATGACAAGAATGTTCTGGAATTAGGTATAACTGTACAATTTTGTGACTATACTTAAAATTACATATTCTAAAAGAGTAAACACTGGGGTTAGGAATATGGCCCAGTTAGTAAAGTGTTTGCCTGCATGCATGAGACTCTGGGATTTTATTTTAAAAGAGCTATGTAAGATATGTATCTTAAGGACCAGCAAAAGGGCTAGAGGCACTTGCTGAAAAAGCCTGATTGCCTAAATCCAATCCCTAAGACCCACATCACATCATGGGAAGAACCAACTCCTCCACGTTGTCCTCTGGCCTCCACAAACACACTGTAGCATATATGCACACACTAAATAAAATAATTTTGAAAAATGTTTAAAGAAATGTTCCTGGTTCTCAACTTCATACACAAACAGGATTAGAATTAGAGCTTTAGGCTCTGATTGCTGTGTTTCCCATTGTACCTCATTGTTTTTCTAAAAGAGGTGTTCCAAAACAGACTAAACTATGTGTTTAAAAACTAGACTATTTCTGAATACATATGTTTCTGTATATGCATACATATACAGTTGTATCCTAGTACAATAAGAACTGGTTCCATGACCCCAAATATGCAAATGTTTAAGACAGTGTAACACTTGCATGTGACCTACTGAAACCCCCATATTCTTTAAGTTACCTTTGGATTACTTATATTTATATGGACTTTTAAACTGTGAGTTACAATCAGATAGGGCTATGTAGTTGAATATAGGGGTCTTCAAAACATTTGGAAACAGTAAAAGCTTTCTGAACATGTATGACCAAAATTTAATTAAAAAAAAAAAAATCAAACAAGACACGAACCAGTAGTTGGTTTCTAATAATGACCATCCAGGGTGGATTGTACAACTTCATTTGAGCTTTGACTGTGAACACATTGCTGCATGCAATGCCAGCAGATGCTTACTAACACCTCAGCTCAGAACCAAGACTATAGTATAATATGATTTTTTTTCTGTATATACAAGGCTTCCTGCTCTTAAGAATCATAATGATTTAATTCCAGGAAAGACTCAGCATTTTCCTACCACCATTCCTCTAAATATCATATAAGTAGCAAATCAGTGTATTTTCAGGTTGTATTGTTAGAATGTTTGATCTCAAAAGTTGCTGTCAGGCCAAGCATTGGTGATACATGCCTTTAATCCCAGCACTCTGGAGGCAGAGGCAGGTGGATCTGTTTGAGTTTGAGGCCAGCCTGGTCTACAGAGCTAGGTCCAGGACAGGCTCCAAAGCAATACAGAGAAATCCTGTCTAGAAAAACAAAAAAACAAAACAAAACAAACAAACAAAAGTTGCTGTTATCTCATTTCATAGAACCATAAGTGTGTAGCTGCAGCAAGGTAAAAGTCCTTTACTATTTCATTATCACTGCTGATACATAAATATTACCAAATTTTTAAATGTTAATTTTTGAAATTAAAATATAACTATACTGTCTCCCCCTTTCCTTTACTCCCTCCAACTCTTCGCTATTCGATCTCAAATTCATGACTGCTATTTCCTTTAACTGTTGATACATTTATGTATGTGTATATGTGTGTGTGTGTATATGTGTGTGTGTGTGTATGTATGTATGTATGCATGCATGTATGTATCTTCCTAAATATATAAATACAACCTGCTTACCACAAACATTATTTCCTACAGGTAGAGCTGTATGTATATGCGAACATAATTTTAAAAGTTTTACTGATTATTTTGTGAATGTGCATGCTTTATTTGTATGTGAGCGTGTGTGGGGATGGGTATGTACCATGGTATGTGTGTGGAAGTCAGAGGAAAACTGTGAGATGATTCTCTCCTTCCACTTCTATGCAAGTTGTAAGAATCAAAATTGGGTCACTAGGCTTGCATCATTGAGTGACAAGTGCTGAGGCATCTCAGCTGCCCCATAAACATCAATATTAAAAATTAAAGATGAAATAATATGTTATACATTAAAGCTAGTATTTACTTAAGACTTTCATAGTAACATTTTTATTAAGGCTAAGAATATTCTCTGGTATGGGTAAGTGACTAAATCTGAACAGAAGAGGTAAAATAATGACCACAGTGAGGAGACTCTGTGTCAAGAACAGAATATTTGGTAAAATCACTTTTGCAGGAGGAGAGGATGTCACTGGGGAGCTGAACTTTACACAAATGGAGGTTTTTACAGCTAAAATATGGTGCTGGAGCAACAGAGTGAGAAGCCAGAGTTTGTAGCAAAAAAGAAAAAACCTGGCAAACATATCACTTTCACTCAGTGCTTCATAGGGAGGCCCTCAGTCTCCAGCACAACACCAGGGAGATGATATGTTTTGTGACATCAGAAAAATCATTCACTTCATTAAAAGCTGTGCCCCCAAATAATAGCTCATTTTAAAACTTTAAAACCCTTCTTTGAAACTTTTACTAAACAGTTAACAAATGGAAGACTAGGGTTAAAAAGATTCTTTAGAAACATTTACAGTATATACCTTTACATGTTTAACTGAAAATAACTTTCTCAATGAGTTAAATTTAAGAGTTACAAGTGATCATCTGAAATGTCTGGAGGCAGAGTTTCAGAAATTCTTATCTTTAAATTTTGATTAGAAAAAAAAAAAAAAAAACTATGTTGCAGTAGGTGGTTTTGGCACATGCCTTTAATCCCAGCACTTGGGAGACAGAGGCAAGTGGATCTCTGTGAGTCCAGGCCAGCCTGGTCTACAGAGCGAGTTCCAGGACAGACTCCAAAGCTACACAGAGAAACCCTATCTTGAAAAACCAAACCAAATTAAAACAAACAAACAAACAAACAAAAAAACCCAAAATCTATGTATGATGCTCTACACACTAAGAAGGGCAAGTAGATACAAAGTCCCACCTCCAACCAAGAATCTATTTGTCATTGATACCTGCTGGGAAAGGGAAAATAAGTGTTCTCCAATGGCGTGTCACTGGGTATATCAACCACAGTCCAGGGCAGGCCCCATGTGCAGGAGTAGTTAGCTAATCACAACATATTTCATGTTTTCTTGTGTGATTTTTGGTTTGGTAATTTTGTGTTACTGGGTTTTTTTTTTTTTATTTTTGTTCTCCTTTTTTTTTTTTTTGAGAGAGAGAGAAAAAAACACTTATTTTCTTAGCTTCTTTGAAACAGGGTCTCTGTGTGCAGTTCTGGTTGCTGGAGCTTATTCTGTAGAGCAGGCTGGCAGATTTCATAATTTTATAATATCATTAAATTAATTTTGGTTCAAGATTAAGACAAATTTCTAACAATTTCTGAAATAGCCCTTACAAAACTGCTGCCATTTTATTACACGTTTAATGAGAAACAAGCATTCTTACTAATGACAATTATAAAGGTATTATTAATGGTCATTAAAGACAATTATAAACTATTGATCGGCTCTGAAAAGTTTTAAAGCTATTCAGTTTCCTACAGTATCAAAGAATCAGTAAAGATTCAATTATTAAAAAATAAAGTAAATAAGCACAACCATCTCACTAGTATGCAAATTTGTATTTATCCTTAATAAATGGTAAAATGAAATAAAGTATTATTTTAAAATATTTTTATTATTTTTTACCAGTAAGTGTGTGATCTATAATCCTATTTTACATACCCTAATTCAAGTAAAGAAAGGTGTCATGAACTGAAAAAGTTTAAGCCCTGACTTACAACAGTAATACAATGTAAATAGTTAAGTGTATTGTTTAGAGAATGAGATGAAAAAGCATATGTACATGTTCACTATAGATGCAGTTTTTCCTTGAACAAAATCTCTCTCTCTCTCTCTACACACACACACACACACACACACACACACACACACACACACACATACACACACAAAATTTGCCATGGTAGGGATGGAACCTATAGTCAAGATGCACTTCACTCTCCTGAGTTTTTCTCCCTAAATATGGGTTGAATTCATAGATGCACATTCCATTGGTATGGAGGGTCAACTACATTTTAAAATAACTGTAACTTACACTCCAAGATCACAACTTAGTATATAGAATTAGGCAGATTTGTGTTCAAATTTTTGCTATTAACTGGTAAGATTTTAGTTGAATTTGTTTTTTTTTCAACTCTTGTAAGCCTTTCATAGGTGAAAAAAGATAATAACAATCTTTTATAAAGTACTTGTAAAGATTAAGTGAAGCATAAAAATGCCATGGGGCACAATTAGCACTCAGTAAATAACGATG